TGGAAAACGAGAGAGATGAGAGAGGTGTGTGTGTCTGTGTGTGAGAGAGAGAGAGAGAGAGAGAGAGAGAGAGAGAGAGAGAGAGAGAGAGAGAGAGAGAGTCAGGAGGGAAAGTGAGAAATAGCCAGATTCTCATATAACCCAGTTTTAGCCTGTCTAGGGAAGTCTCCTGCGCTTTATCCTTCACTGGATAAATGCCTTTATCCTCGGCATTGCGAGGCCCGCAGCCCTCCCGCAGGTCACCGCCCACCGCCGGGCGGGGGCGTGGTAGCCTCCCCGGCCCCCATGGCAACCGGTGGCGGTGCGGCAGCGAATTGTGACAAAGCAATAGGCGGCCGGCTTCACCCGGTAGCCTAGGCCGCCCTCAGTGTGGATTCCGTTTCTTGTTCTCTTACTGCGTTTCCTGGGAATTTTAATTTCGTTCTCGTTACCTTTCTCTCTCTCTCTCTCTCTCTCTCTCTCTCTCTCTTTCTTCTTCCGAGACAGGTTTCTCTGTGTAGCCCTGGCTGTCTAGGAACTCTCACTATAGACTAGATAGACTAGACGGGCTCAAACTCAGAGATCTGCGTGCCTTTGCCTCCCAAGTGCTGGGATGAAAGAAAGGCGTGCACCACCACCATCCAGCAAGTCTTTTGTAAAAAAAAAAATAACTTTTCTTTGCATTTTTTTTCTTTTCTGAATGTTGTGTCTGCATGGATGCCCGTGCACCTTCATGTTCAGTGCCCATGGAGGCCAGAAGAGGGAGTCAGATCTAGAAATGGAGTTGCAGATGGCCCTGAGTTACCATGTGAGTGCTGAGAATTGAATGTGACCTCTGGAAGAGCAGCCAGTGCTCATAACCACTGAACCATCTCCCTGTCCCCCTACCTAAGTGTCTTAGATGACATCTATTATAATGAATTTAGACTGTGTTTTAAGAGTTTAAACAAAACCCTCTTTGGCATGGGATGACATTGGAACTTTAAAGTGTACTGAAGATTCCCTCATATACTCTGGATTTTCCTTACCTTCTCTTTTCCCCTACTTGTGTTCCTTTTTCATGTGGTTTTATGTAGTAATTAAGGGCTCATTCAAGACTACACACTTGTTTCCGAAGTGAGGCAAAAAGAACGAATTAGAGACTTAGATGGAATGTGTAGGTACATGCTTCTAGCTCATTCTTTTCCCAATCTATCATTCTCACCCTCTTTAATAAAAAAGGTATTAAGTCAATGTGAGTAGTCTGAAACGTGCAAATTGCCTTTTTGTTTAAAACCAAAGTTCAAATTCCACAGTAGCTCAGGCTGTCCAGCTCAGTCTCCCCAATTACAGACGACTAACCAGATTGTGAATCCAAACGTGGCCAGTGCAAATAATGAAAATCAGATCCTTTATATTAGTATTAT